CAGCCTCCCTCTTTTCTTTCCTTCCTTCCTTCCACCCCTTCGCTATGTAGGGAGAGAGAGGCATCAATGGAAAGGCTGAAATACGCGTAGATGGACTTTCGGATGCATTTTTTTCTTGCAAGAGGAGGATAAATCCCGCTCGCCGCTGCACTGACTGTTTTGTGGCTGTTGCATGGTGAAAATGGGGTTCCCTCACTCCAGCTGAATCTTCGGAGCGTTTCAGAGAGTTGCTGCAGTGAAGGACTTCTATTTTTTTTGCATCAGAGGAGCTGCATTGATGCTAACCATTTTTTTGTAAAATGGAGAACGAGATCTTCACACCCCTTCTGGAGCAGTTCATGTCTAGCCCTCTGGTCACCTGGGTAAGCGTTCATTTTCCCTCACACCTTCCTGGCTTTATTTGCTCATTGTTTGGCGATAAACGCCTTGCGGCGGAGGACGCGGTGGAGTTCGTGTCACGGTGGTGGTGCTTGTGTTCTAGGTTAAGACGTTTGGACCGTTAGCTGGAGGAAATGGGACCAACCTCGAGGAATATGTGGTGCTGGTGGATGGTGTGTACCTGAACGAAGTCATGCTGCAAATGTAAGTGTGGGTGACTGCTGCCTTGGCTTTATTTTCTGCTGGTTTGCTTCTCTTGTATTCTGTTTCTATATAAGAACTCCTTCCTCCCCTCCTCCTTCCCCCTATGCTGACCTTGGTAAATTAATTTCTTCTGTACTTGACATGGTCATGTGGTGAGTTTAGAGACTTGGGAGTGTGGCAGATACTCTGCGCAGTTCAGTGCCCCAGTGATGTATTTGCAGGATGTATAGTGTGATGCAGCCTGAATCATGATTGTAGAACTTACTGGAAAATGGGATGACTGTAAATAGTTTCCCAGGTTTCCTCTGAGAGGCATAAATGTTCATTCTACTGTAAGTCATGCTCAGAAACACAATTTTGAATAAATTTGCTTGGCTAATAAAATTCTAATCCATACCTTGGTTCACGTGACACACAACTTAAGGATGGCATGCGAGTCACACACTGTTATTCCATGAGCAAATGTCCTTTAACTCCTTTAGCTTTATTTTTCACAGTTCCAAATTAGAGTAGATAGCAGCTGAGCTGTAAAGCTGATGTTTTAATGGAGAGTATAGAGTGTTTCCTGGCTACAAACCACAGAAGAAGCACTTTTACTTGGGTGTATAAATTGTTTATTGAACACTCTGATTGTTAGAAAGATTTCTTAGTGGCTTTCTGTTAATCATAATTTTGACTGGAATGTTGCCCAGTACTGTGGTGCTGGAGAGTAACACTTGTCAAGTGTCTAGAGATATAATCATACAAGTGTTACTAGTGCAAAAATTTCTACATACTTTCTTTTTTTTTTTGGTATTTTAAGCCTTTGCAGAGAAATGCATCTATTTGTATAGGTATGAAAAGCTGTAGGCTTACGGCAGGCGGAGTTCATACATCAGGGCATGAGCAGCTTGTGTTGGCAGCTGTTCCTCAGAAACACTGCTCAGGGATGGGCATCCTCTTACTTGGTTTTTACTCATATTTAATGCTTTAAAACTTTTTGCTGCTGGTGTCCAGCTTGTATAACTAATCTGTGTCAAAAGAGAGATACATTACAGCATTTGTGTGAATTCACATCCTTTTTGTGACCAGTATTTTCTTTGTCACCTACTTCTGTACAACCAAAATTGCAAGTACTCACTTCTAATAATCACTGTCATGTTGAGAAACATGGGAAACTTGGTGGATTTGAACTTTTTGGAAAAAAATTCCGAGTGTATTCTTATACATGTTAATAAGAATTTTAAGTGATGCATTCACTGGAAAATGCTATTTTATTTTATAATTTGTTTGGTTTTTTCCCCCGGGCTACATATAAATTAAGTAGCTTTTCGGCTATGGCCATGAATTTAACATGTAGAGCTTCTGTTTGGTAAAAAAAAAACTTGACAGCTGGAAGGCAAATTTAGCACTGGAACAAGGTGATTTTGAAGAATATAGTCTTGAAGTTCAACTTTATCAGTTATTTTTTTTAATGCTGAGTATAAATTGATATCTGATACCTGTGTGGGATGCATGTTTATAAAATGGAAAACTGGCAAGAGGGAATGTTCCCATGCTTAAGCCACTGTGTGTTGGATTTGGCTTTAACTTTGTGCATCTTTGACCCCATGCCATGATTGCTGTAGTTTGCTTAGAGGTGTTGGGTGGGTATGTATGAAAAAAAATACACATGGGAGATGTAAATTTGAAATAAAATAGTAGTCAGAGTAGGTAAAAACTGCCTAAAACTGGAGTTGTGTGTGAAAGGATTGGTGTACAAATAAAACTGGCTTTAGAAATTGGTAAATACTCTGGAAGGTGTATTTTATTTAAAATACATTTTTTGGGAACTGAGGTGTGTTATGGTTGGTGCCTGCCTAGAATTGCCTTTCAGAACTGTGTTTTATATATATGTATACAGGGAATATTGAGATTAGATGTTAAGTTTCTTCCCTGTTAGGGTGGTCAGGCACTGGAATAGGTTGCCCAGGGAGGTGGTGCAGTCACCACCCCTGGAAGTGTTTAAGAGGCTGGAGGATATGGTTTAGGGGTTACAGCAGAGCAGCAGGCTGATGGTTGGACTCGATGGCCTTAGAACTCTCCTCCAACCTTGATGATTCTGTATTTTATTAAGGTTTTGGGGTTTGTGCCAGGATTGGAAGAGGGGAAAAGCTTTTTTGTGATTTGCACAGTGTTTCTGTCTGTGTTGAAGTCACTCTGGAAACCTGTGTTAACTTCTAGTCCTGTTCACTTTGAATATCCACCTATTAATGAGTGTCTTTGTCTGCAAGAGCATTTCAAAGGTGCAGCCCCAACTAATCATCAACAGAACTTAATTTCAGCATTTTCTATTTTTATTTCTCTTTTTTTTCCCCTTTCATTCTAAACTCCTATATGTCGAGGAGATGTGGCAGAAAAATGTGTCACGTGACTTCAAAAGAAAAGTGTTTTTCTTCAGAATGTTGGGGTTGGGTTTGTTTTGTTTTGGGTTTGTTTTTTGGTTTTTTTAAAAGCTCTTAATGACTTCACATGAGAACTAGAGATCTGTGGTTAGGAGCTGTAACAGTGGAGTCTGTTAGAGGTGCTGTGGTCCTGCTTGGTATAAACTTTAATACGTACTTTATTCTTTCCAAATGTTGAAAAAACATTCTGTGACCATAAAAGTGAGTGCTAATATTGGGATTAGACATGGTTCGTAAACAGTTACACAGTCAAAAAAGGTGGCTTTGTTAGTTAGAGAAGGTTTTTTGTTCAGTTAAAAAAGAGTTAATCCTGCCCTCCATCAGCTACAAGTGAGAGTTTGTCAGTGCAGCATTTGTTTCTCCTTGTGCTCCTCTAGCCCAACTTTATCTTCAACAATTATAATGATTCAGACAGAGGAAATAGATGTCAGCATTGGAATAGTTGCAGGATGATGATTGTACTGAGATTATCAGCATTGAGTTTATTAGTGCGTCACGCATGAGAAAGAAGAATTTATTACACTCCTTGTATGTCTTGCCTTTTTGGATGTTTCAGAACCTGTGAAAATTCCACAGATTCCAGTCAGTGTCCAGTTACATCTGAAGAGTTCTTCCTTGCTGGAGATGCTACAGGCCAATTTAATTATTTTATTATTTAGTTAAAGAGTGTCCCAGTGTTTTAATATTAGCTCCCGACTTGAGAGAATGTCTCTGGTTTCCTGTTTAAATTTAGGTCCAGTTCTTCAAGAAGTATTCGGTTACTTACCTTCTGCTGGGATCAGTCAGTATCTGATACTTGTGGAGAGAAACCCATCTGTCTTTCTAAATCTGAGCCTTTATCTTTGTGCTCTTTGATACAAAAGGGGTCATGCTTCTTGGAAATAAATCAGAACACTAGAGATCACTGCACTGGGGTTCTGCCCTGGCAGGGAGGTGGAGGAACATACCAAGAATACTTCATACCTGTATTATACCTCTATAGCATAATATTTCTAACATTATAAAGTGCTCAGAGGCATGAGTAAAATATGTTGTGTATAGTTCTGAAATCAGTGTAATTCAGTGGATTAGTCACCTGTTGCACATCTATGTACAATTGCAGTAAAATAATACTTAGTTGGATACTTAGAGATATTTTTTCCAGGACCTAACACCACCTGTGTTTTTTTATAGATTAAGCATATTTGTTAACTGAATTCCAGTAGGACTGTATTAAAAAAAAAAAAGCTGGGAGTCTTTTAATATGAACTGTGGCTTCCAAGCTGACAAGAGTCTTAGTAGTTCCTTTGAGTAAAAATAGACAGCTGCAAGTAGTTACAAGACTGGGGCTTTCATTACATTTACCACCACCATTAATATTTGGTCAAGCAACAAAGACTTGAAACTGTATTTTATTCTTAATTGTTTTATTTTACTGTGCTCTGTATTTGTGGAAATAAATCTGGTTTAAAGGAGCTGTTGGACAAATGCTGTATGCAGAGCTGGTAATGTACAGACCCAAACTCTGAAACTGAGCTAATTTAATCCACTGTCTGGTAAACCTGGCTGCTTTCATCACAGTGTACCATTTATAACTTGGGTCTTAATTTCATATATTAACTTGCCATATCAGACAAGCTGAAAACTACTTCAAAGGATGAAGTATTTTATCGTTCTCTGGGGTTTTTTTTACCCCTCTTGCCATTCTCCCGCTGTTTTTCACTGGCTGGATCCACATGCAGGCCTTTCACACCCATCAGATTTTCCAGGTGGACTGGCTGACTGTTTCCTTCCACCACTCTGGCAGTGTGTGCCTAGAATGTGGACTGCTTCCTTGGCTCCTGTTCTGAGCTCTTAGTCTTCAGTTGTGTGCTTTTTTCCAAGCACTTGAGCTTGCCAGCCCATACTTCTGGCTTGCCTATATCTTTCCCTGAAAACTGGACTCTGTCTCCAGTGCCTGAGCCAGCTGCCTGGCTCTGTGAAAGAGTGGAGGAACAGCCACTCCAATCCAATTAACTCGTTCTTGTGAACACCAAAGAGCAAGAAGCAGTTTCTGCCAGGACCTGGCTGGGTGGGGAAGTGAAAAACAGTTTTGAGGAAAATAAAATTGGTGACTTTGGCAGTAGAAGTAGGAGCATATATTTTAGTGAAAAAGTCAAATATTAAGTCTACACCTTTCTCTCTACTGTAGCAAATGGATTTGATTCACACTGTTGGATTTCCACAGGTGCATGGTGTATGTCACTCTCATAGTTTGTGAGAGTTGCTGCTCTTAAGAGTTGTGCAGCAGCAGCAGGGCCTACGTTTTTCTTTAGGAAACCTGAATTTCTAACCGTCTTCTTTTTTTTTTTGTAAAGAAGCAAATCCTGTAGTAAATGGTCCAGCAGAATGTACACCATGGTCAGGACTGATGGAATTCAAGCTTTTGGATTACAGAAAAGGAAAACATAGTTCTTAGTGTGATAATGATTAATTTTAGACTTGAACATCTGCCTGCAGTGAGCTCTGAATTGGACAAATCAGGCAGACATAGGCTGATACCTGCACTACTAAGGTGCTTGGGGTTTTGATAGATTAAGAGAAAAAAGCATGGGTTGC